GAGACAGAGTGAGACTCCAACTCAAAAAAAATAAATAAATAAACCAAATACAATGAAAGGAAGAAAACCCTAAAGGAGAGAAAATATATTTGCTGTTCATTAAGTGGAAGTGGACCACCGTAAAGGTCTTCATCTTCATCATCTTCATACTGATTGAACTGAGGAGGAACAGGAAGAGGAGGTGTTAGTCTGCCACCCCTGGTCTTGGCAGGGGTGGCAGAGGCAGGAGAAGATGCTCGTATAAGTAGGCCAGCACAGTTCAAACCCACGTGCAAGGGTTACCTGTATACCTTAAGTCCCAGTTTCCATGTTATCTATATAAACCAGCTACTTGACACATATTTTTGCTGCCCCTCAAGTTATACAACTCAAGTGAACCTACAGAAAAAGAATTTAAAAGTTGGGAAACTGCACTTATTCATACTTGGTGATTGTGTGACTTATTTTAATGATGTGAGAACCCGATGTGAAGTAAGAATGAGAAGCTGGTGTTTCTATTTCTGTCGTGGGTGTTTATCTGTTTATTCAAGAAACTAGTGATGAGCAGTGACCATGTGCCAGTCACAGTGCAAAGCAGGAGACACAAGTTGAGTAAGGCAGGCTTGTCTTCGAGAATCTGATCAGCATGACTAATTATTCTACCTGTTAATGAAGGAAAAATAAAGATAAATAATCTCTATAGATGATCTCTGTCCTTTGGATTAGCTAGTAGGAGAGCAGGGGGGAGACAGTCTACGTTATGAAGTGAAGAACATTCTGAATACATGGGCATAGACTTTCTGTAGAATCAGAAGTGTTTAGGGGAATTCCAGAAATCTGATCAGAAGTAATTTTTTGAATCTAGGTTGAAGAATATGTTACTCCTGAGAAGTTCAAATACTGGGAAAAAGTAGGAAATGAACTCGGATTTCATTATACTGCAAGTGGCCCTTTGGTGCGGTCTTCATATAAAGCAGGTAAGTTCGATAGCGGGGATGGTTTTATGTAGACCATTAACTTTCCACATCGAGTCCTACCCCCCAGTTCAACAAAGCTCTTGGACACAATCGAATAGCTCTTTTGGGTCATGTTTGATTTTTTTTCTGGAAGATCCTTAGGAGCTTTGCTCCTAACAAACAAAAAATTTGTTTGTTCCTTAAACAAATTTGCCTCCCCTTTATAACTCACCTACTATAATAAAAGCAGAAATGATTAATTTGTTAATTTATTCTACATGTGGATTTCAGTAGTAGGTTATTTAAAAATGAGAAAGCATGTCAAGCATTTAATAGGGTTTTCTGAAAAATATATACTCATTTGAAAATGATGTCAGCTCCATCTCCAGAAACCCAATTTCAGTCAGCTTGAGCACTAAAAGTATCTATTTGATAGCATTGCTGCTTGCATCATTAATTTCTTTGTTTTTTTTCCCAGAAGCAACAGGAAAAAAATCCATAAGATTATTTTTCCCTATAGAAATGTTTAGCGGTTTTACTAGCTACAGTGTAATTTTTGCCTTTGGGATTTCAGCTCTTGTCTTGATCAGTAGCTACAGTGGATTTATGAAAATAAAAGAACCATAAGAATGTATTTGAGCCGGGCTCGGTGGCTCAGCCTGTAATCCCGCGCCTTTGGGAGGCTGAGATGAGTGGATTGCCTGAGCCCCCGCCTGGGCAGCAAGACCTCATCTCTACAATATAAATAAAAAAAAATCAGCCGGGCGTGGTAGTGCATGCCTGTAATTCCGGCTACTCGGAAGGCTGAGGTGGAAGGATCTCCGGAGCCCAGCAGGTGAGGCTGTGGTGGCTGGGAGCGGCCACTGCACTCTAGTCTGGGCGACAGAGTGAGACTCCAAC